AATAGAAACAGAAGGAACATTGCCAAACTCTTTTTACAAGGCTACACTTACCCTGATACCCAAACAACACAATGATGCAACAAAGAAGGAGAATTACAGACCAATCTCCCTCATGAACTTTGATGTTAAAATACTGGCAAACCAAATCCAAGAACACATCAAAAAAAAAATCATCCACCATGTCAAGTATGTTTCATCCTAGAGATGCAAGGATGGTTCAATGTACCAAAATCTGTCAATGTAATCCACCATATAAACAAACTGAAAGAAAAAAAAATCACATGATTATCTCATTTTATGCTGAAAAAGCCTTTGACAAAAATCTTAACACCTAATATCCCTGATCTTTTTTTTTTTTAAAGATTTATTTATTTATTATGTACACAGCATGTATCCCTGCAGGCCAGAAGAGGGCACCAGATCTTATTACAGATGGTTGTGAGCCACCATGTGGGTACTGGGAATTGAACTCAGGACCTCTGGAAGAGCAGGCAGTGCTCTTAACCTCTGAGCCATCTCTCCAGCCCCAATATCCCTGATCTTAGAGAGATCAGGGATACAAGGAACATACCTACAAGCATAATAAAAGCAATATACAGCAAGCCTACAGCCAACATCAAATTAAATGGAGAGAAACTCAAAGTGATTCCACTAAAATCAGGAACAAGACAAGTCTGTCTATTCTCTCCATATCTATTCAATATAGTACACAAAATTCTAGCTAGAGCAATAAGACAACAAAAGTAGATCAAGGAGATACAAATTGGAAAGGAAGAAGTCAAAACTTTCGCTATTTGCCGATGATATGATAGTATACATAAGTGACCCCAGGGAACTCCTACAGCTGATAAACACCTTCAGTAATGTGGCAGAATACAAGATTAACTCAAAAAAATCAGTGAACCCTCCTATATACAAATGATAAATGGGCTGAGAAAGAAATCAGAGAAACAACATCCTTTACAATAACCACAAATAATATAAAATATTGTGGGGTAGTTGGGGCTGACCTCATCCTGCTTCTGCCTCCCAAATTCAGGGATTATAAGCCTGTGCCACCATTCCTGAGTATTTGTGACAATTTCTCTGCAAAATACCTTTAAGGTTATCAGAGTAATTATATGATCTGGTTCTCATTGGGGTCTGTGTGTTATGAGTGTAAAGGCCAGAGGTCAGTGTTCTTAGTCACGCTTCACCTTGTTTTTTGAAGCAGGATCTTTCACTCAATGTGGAAGTCACTGACTGAGCTAGGCTGGCTGGCGAGTGAGCCCCAGGGATCTGAACTCAGATGCTCATGCTTGCCAGCAAGCCCTTTCCCAACTGAGCCATCTTCCCCATCCCCAGAGCAATAGTTTCTAAGGAGACATGTTACATGTTCAAGGGAATATTTCTAATAAAGAAGTATTTTAGTTTAGAAAAAAATGTGAGGATGCCTCCTTATATTTGTCTCACAATTATCTGGTACTTCTCATAAAAATTATCTTTGGTTTTATTAGTAGTGGAAAATAGCAACTTATATGTGAAAGATTGACTTAATGCAGACCTATTCTTAAATGAGAATTAAAGCATTCTCTGTCATAACTCTCAGACTTGGAAGTACATCATTCAGTGTGCGTACTTTCCTACCTCACTGCATAGTTCTGCCTGTCCCTTAGGGCTAGTTAACATTCATTATGTAAATCTGTTTTGTTAGGATGGAGGTGTTTCCGGCTCACCCCATTCTAACATGTGACACAGTGAACAGTTATGCATATCTTATTACTTGCCCAGTTATTTCTTCAGTATAAATTCCCAGGAATGAAACTGATGGGCAAAAGTCTGTACTGTTTTAAGTGATAAGTTTTTATTTATAGCTTTTTATGAAATTGCACTGCCAGTACTTGTATCCATTTATGTTTTGGGCAGTAATGGGCAGTGTTTCTTTTTCTCCATTTTCTTGGTATTTCTAATATTCAAAGTATATCTGCAAATCTGATAACAATATATTTCTTTTCTGCGTGCATTTCTTTATTGAGTTTGGACAAGCCCTGTAGCATGAATAGTACCATTTAAAGGGAGCTGATGGATTTGCATATTCCTTAGGATTCTAATAGAGCTTCAGATAGTAAAATGGTGGTTTTAAGTCATAAAGTCAAGACTGAGTACATGAGCATAGAACCCCCTGCCAGTGTCTTCATGTACATGTTACTTTATTGAAACTGGGAAAGGATGATCCTTCAAAGTTCCAAGGAGGCAAAAGTTGATAAATATGTATAACTCCTGAATATAAATATCAAATTATATATGTGTGTGTGTGTGTGTGTGTGTGTGTGTGTGTGTGTGTGTGTGTGTTCCCTATTCGTACATGTGCCATCTATTTCTCAGTTTTTTTATTAACCTCCTCCTCCCCAGGAACCTTTCAAACATTTTCCTCCTAACTGTATTTTGGGATGTTTTGATACATTGTATGTCTGTTTATATATTGCTCATTTGGAGGACATGAATTTATGCATTAAGATTTTGTTGACCATCCAAAAGACATTGGGTCAGTACTGCCTCAGTTGAGAATGCATGGTATCTGTGTATGGTCGTGTGTGCACTTACACAAATATTTGTGGTAAGATCAGAAAACCTCAGCCATGCCCTTGCTAAACCTTTGATACCTTTGGTTTCATGGGACTCAGAGACTTTATCAGTTGTCCAGAAAGGGACAGTACTGTTAGTAATTAAGCCCACCATTTCATAATCTATTCAACTGTAAACAAGCACCTTGGACTATTTAAGTTCTGTAGAATATTCTCCGTGGTATTTTCATTCTTGAGAAGGTGGATATGGCAAGTGTGCAGTGTTCCTGTTGTTGCTGAAGGTGTCTGGTTGTATTTGAGGAAAAGTATCTCTAATGAATTAGAATTGACTGATAGTAAATGTTTAACCCCTGCCCCAATATTCCCTCATAGTGGTTCTGCCTCCTGGGGATACTGGGGAGCATTTTCAGTTCCAGTTGTCAGAACTGGAAACCTGAGTCCTTAGAACATCTGGTGGGTCAGTCAAGCTGGAACTCTGTTAAATATCCTAAAGTGGGTTTATGGGACAGAGAAGTAGCTGGTCCAAAATGTTGGCACTGCCGAGATTGAGAAGCCCTGAACAAGCCTAATGATGTGAGCACTTCTTAAGATCTTCCTTTAGAAGATACCTGGTAGCATTCTGGTTTTAGTATATTTACACATTTTTGAGTCATTTGTATATCGCCATATATAATTATGAAATTTAGAAAACAGTTCTTTCGAGTCTCCAGAAGAGGTTTGATTGCCCATGTGCATCTATTACCTAACAGTTATTACTTATCAGTTATGCCTGCATGGATTTCAGTCACACCAAAGGTCTTTAGAGAAGGAGCCATTGAGATGGCTCAGCAGGTAAAGGTGCATGCTATTCCTATAATCGTTTACTTAAAGCTAGTAACTACCTGCTGCCTTTGCACAGATCTGTGTGAAATTTCTTTGTCTCTGAGATACTAGACATCGGACTTCAGCATTAGTAACATGTGCTTTTTGATGTCCTATCCAAGAAAAGACCAAACTGAGCTTAACCCAATTTTTTTCTTGTATAGTAATAGCACTGTAAACACAAACATAATCTGCACATTTTTTTTTCTCTAGCTTTCCCAAAACCTGCATTAGTACTAAAGAAAACTGCTATATTCAAGTGTGTGCTAACTTACTGTAACAGACAGGATTTTACTTGACTTACAGTAATTGCCTCCAAACCAAAAAAAAAAAAAAAAAGAATCAAGAATTCTGACCAAATGTTATAAGTGCTTGGTGGAAGATGTCCTACTCAAGTTGTGTTTAAAAACAGAGGCAGGCGGATCTCTGTGAGTTCGAGGCCAGCCTGGGCTACAGAGTGAGGTCCAGGAAAGGCACAAAGCTACACAGAGAAACCCTGTCTCTAAAAACAAAATATATTTTATATATATAAAATCTCCCCAGCTGGTGGTGGCATACGCCTTTAATTCCAGCACTCAGGAAGCAGAGGCAGGGGGTCTACAAAGAGAGTTCTAGGACAGCCAGAGCTGTTACATAGAGAAACCTGTCTCGAAAAACCGAAAAAGAAAAAAAAAGTTATAGATTTGGGGGTCCTCTTACAGTGTAAATTTCAAAAAGATGCTGATCATTGCCTAGAAGAGATATAGCAAGTGGATGGTAAAAGTTTTCTTCTAAGACAAGGCAATACATGTAGGCCTGGTGTCACCCAGTAGGCAGGCTGACCTCTGAGTTCAAGAACAAACTGTCCTACATAGCAAGTGTTCTAGGCCAGCCAGGGCTGCATAGTGAGATCCTGAGATCCTGCTTCCAGAATAAAAGGAGATACGTATAAAGCCATCACTTCAGAGAAAAGATTTAAATTTCTGTGATGGAGACTTCAGACAGTCGTTGGCTTTTTTAAAATTTAATTTTGTTTTGTACTTTGAGGTATGGTAATAAGTAGGGTATGTGATCATTTTTCTAAAAGCAAGCATTTAGTGAGTTACCGATTTAGGTCCTATATCAGACCAAAGTTCAGATGGGAAGCAAAAGCATTCGGTGCAATTTGCTTAGCAACCAGCTTGTTGTGTCCTGTTTGGCTACTGAATGCATGCAGTCATGCCTCACAAGTGCATGTGCAGCCAGCTGGACTCGACCGGACAATACTTCATTCACCTGCTTTCTAGACTAGTCAGGCGAGGACACCAGCCCACTGTGTTTAATCAGGAGGAAATGGATTTGTAAACTCCAAGTTTAAGCTCACCGATCTCACAAGCCTCAGCTAGGACAAATCACCTTCTAATTCAGGCAGACAGATGTCTCTGGGATTCAGAACTTTCCTCTTAACAACCCTTAGAAGAATATTACTCTAGGAAGTTCCAAGATCTTAGAAAACAATAGTTTAAGTTCTGAGACCAACTTCAGAAAATCTTACAGTGAAAATTCAGGCCTGACTTGACTCTCTACCTTCATCTGCTTGTGATTGTTCTCTCCTAGGAAGCAGCAGTTTTGCTGGCATGTAAAGCTCCAGTTTCCTCAGAGTCAAGCTGAGTATGTGGAAAAAAGGTATGATACCTCTACCACCACTGTCCATTACGAGTGCTTTACTTTAAGGCTCTGTAATTCAACAGGTAAGTGGTGAATGAATAAGCTAAGCTGTGCTTGTCACACCGTGCAGGATTCATCAGTAGTGACAGCAGCAAGTGACCTGCCCTGAGCCCCGCAGCTCCACATCAGATCAGCTGTGATGCTGAGGAAGAGAGCAGGCCAAGGAGGGACAGCCGAACATGGCTCTGTCTCAGAGTAGGAAACTCCCCGGGAACTAGTAGTGTCTGTTTCAGGAACTTACACAGACAGCAGAACCAGGAGGGAGCTGAAGCAGACTGGGGTGGTAATTATTTGAGCAGAGAGCACAGGTTTAAGGAGGGGTGTGTTTTGATCAGGAGGTCTGAAAGCTGTTTCTCAGACTGAGTGGTTACACAGGACATGGATGACAACCCAGAATTCTACTACAGAAAAGTCCCTCAGAAGTTATTGTAGATACATGTATGAAACATATGTGTGTACACATCATAATACATCTAAATATACATGCATATCCTAATTTAATCCATAAGCTTGTTAAGGTTTTTGATTGAGAATATTTTCAGGTGTCACAGGTTTTATTAACGATGTGCTGTGCGGTTTCTTGAGTTAGGGAGATGTCTAAGTTGATGTCAGGTAGTGTCCTCAGCATCTGTCCCCACTGTGCACTGCCTTTCTTTCAGATTGTCACGGGTTGTTGGGAAGAATTTTGTTACCAGCATGAAGTCAGGGCTGGCCTTACTTGACATGGAGTGTGAGAACAGTAGCACAGTGAGGCAAATTGCTCAGGGAAGTCAGAGGGTCTGAATTTTGTTGTGTAGAATTGTGAAGCTGCGTGCAGATACGGGAAAGTTTGGAGACTTGCAATGCTTCCTTCCAGGGAAATTGGTATCCACTTTGAAGCCTGGTGTGTGGCTCCAGATGAGTGAACTGAACATGGCTGAATTGTAGCCTCCTGAAAGCTTTCTTCAGTTGTATTTCTATGAGCTTCGTGTATGTTTCAAAGTTTGAACATAGGTGTATGTAAAAGCGGTTTCATATTTTTATAAGTGATTGATAAGGAGCTTTTTTAAACTTTTAAAGACTTTATAAAGTGTTTCTTAAGAGCCTTTCTGTGCTTTTCTTCTACATAATTTTAGCATGAAAGAATGTTATATGCTGTATTTTGCCAAGAGTAAAATAAAGGGTCCTTGTTCCGTTTTTCCACCAAATTTAGCAATTTTAAGTTAACACTTAGTAGCAAATTATAAATAATAATTTTTGCTATTTTCCTTCTCTGTGGAAAGAGTACCAGATGATAAAACTATTAACGAAATTCTAAAACCATACATCGATCCTGAAAAGTCTGATCCTGTGATTCGTCAAAGGTATGTTTCAAAACTCGTGTAGCTTTCTGACATGAGTTAGAAGTGTTGACTTAAAGCATGTGTGTTTGTGCACTCGTGTGCATACGCGTGCTGCCATCCACATGTGGAGTGAAAGCTTTGGGAGTGGGCTCTCCTTCCACCACGGGGACCTCAGGGATTAGGCCTGACCCTTCAGGCTTGACCACAGGCATCTTTACCTGCTGAGCCATGTCACTAGATGCAGACGTGTAAAGTATTTTTATGTGTGTGTTTATTATGGAAAGCTGTGACTGTATTTAAATGTGTTGTAGAGTGCAGTCGTTGTAGCTAGTCCCATTTGCTACAGACACTCAAGCAGGCAGTAATGAAGATTAGTTAATTCATTTAACCATCACAGCAGCTCTGTATAGGGAGACACTGATTCATACCCATTGTGCAGGTGGAGAAACTGAGCCTTAAGTAGTTAACATAACTTCCTGTGACTAATAAGGAAGCTGAGATCCAAATCCCCGCAGTACCATCAGACTGAAGTCTGTAGTCTCACCCCTTCAAGTGGAACCATAAATTCTACAACTTAAAACTTTTCTAGTAACCGTTAAAGACGGAAATTATATTTCAACCAAGTACATCCCTCCCAAAACTAAATAAGGTTACACTTTGCCTCCAGAAATACGGCATGGTCAAAGTGGCTAGCGTAGCTCAGCGGGGAGTTCTGCCTGGATATGTGCATTGAAGTAGCTTTAATTAGAGAGAGCAAGCTGCTTCACTGCCATGCTTTAGTTTTCCCGTCGGTGGGATGAGAACAATATAGATAGGAAGTCAGGACGCCTGGAAGAGAGAAGTATGGAGTCCAGCGGGGCTGCGTGTGTGCGTGTGCACAACAGTGCTTGGACGGGAAGCTTGGTGGTGAATTAGTTTCCAGTGCACCTGGGCAGGCGCCATGGAGCTTTGTTCTCAGCAGTGGTCTGTTCCTGGGGTGGGCTTGTTGGTTTGAAGTTCACACCTGGTGGATCCTGTGGCTGAGCTGCTTCAGTTGAAGAAGGCAGTGCCAGCCAGACACAGGCAAGCCATGCATGAACCGAGCCCTGTCTTTGAGACAGCTCTGATAGTTAAAGCCTGATGGATGGATAATCTGGTTATCGTTTGCTCATGTACTTGACATTAATAAAAAGCATTACTAAATTGAAGACAATAAATTGGTAAGTAGCTAACTATTTGCTGACACAACTATATTTTTTAGCACATGTACTGACAAAATGAGACTTTGAATTTATCTAATTAACCAGAGAGAGAGAAGGTAATTTTTTTCACATCTTGCTTAGAAAATATCTTTACTTTTTTCTCTTTTCTTAGATAGATGAATTACAAACATTATTAGCTATTCAAAAATTTTAGTCTTCATAAAGACTATCTTAAAATAGATTTAATTTTGCTTCCTCTACTATGATGCAGATTGAAAGCCTATGTACACTCAAAGACTGGGGTCCAGATTTTAATGAGGGTTGAAAATATGCAGCAAAATTTCGTAAGGTAAGATTGCTTTCCTCTGTTTCTTTATGTATAATTAAGTAACTTGATTAGGTTAAGTAGCTAACTACTATACTAATTATTTGGCTATCAACAAAAATCTAGACTTATAAAAATCACTTTCCAGTTAAAATACTAAAATAATCACTTTAATAAAATTTGGTAGCAATCACCTGTTAGAATAGAATTTTCTTTCAAGACAGTTTCTCTGTAGATTTGGAGCCTGTCTTGGAACTCACTCTGTAGACCAGGCTGGCCTCAAACTCACAGAGATCCACTTGTCTGCCTCCCAGTGCTGGGATTAAAGGCGTGGGCCACCACCACCCAGCCTAAAGGAATTTTTAAAAATCCTTTGAGGTTTGTCTTAGGGTTTCTATTGCTCTGAAGAGACACCATGACTATGGCAACTCTTATAAAGGCAAACATTTAATCGGTGTTGCTTTCAGTTCAGAGGTTCAGTCCATTATCATCATGGTGGGTAACAAGGCCCCATGCAGGCAGACATGGTGCTGGAGAAGTAGATGAGAGTCCTACATCTTACAGGCAGCAGGAAGTGGTCTGTCTCACTGGGTGTAGCTTGAGCAAATGAGACCTCACAGCCCAATGCCATAGTGACACAACTTCCTCCAACAAGGTCTCCCCTTGGGGGCCATTTTTCTTTAAACTGCCTCCATCTGAGTAGCTTGAATTGCTAGTCAGAATCAAAGCTTGTATTTTTTTCAAGGAGTTTGGTAAGTATGGCTCCAAAACACTTCACTAAAAATTCATTCTCACTGCCCTGTTGTGCCTGAAGAATGTGGTAAATCTTTCCGTCTCCCTCTTCCTCGGTGAACCCTGAGCCATGGGCCAAGGGAATGTGACACAGATTTAGGGCTAAGCAATCCGCATTCTTCTTCTCTGTGCCTTGACCATCAAGTTCTAGAGGATAACCAAGAACATTGGCAGTAGCCTGTAATGTTTGGGGATATGTAAGACTCCAGAGAGGTGATCTATTCCTGGCACTGGACTTTTCATCTGTTAGCCTGTGTGAGAGTATTGTCACTCCCGTTGTCTGGAAACTCCACTGAACTCTTTCAGTTGCACACAGGAACTCAACACAATTGTGAGAACATGTACAAACCTGTGCAAGCCCAGGCCAGACACTAAGTCCCACCATGAACTGGGGAATTGAAGAGAGTCAGTCTGTAGGGTGTGACCCTGGTAAGTTGATCACACACCAGTTAGTGGGCTACGTGTCCGGAGTGTGTGGGCAGCACAGATTGGGTTTGGTGGGTTTTAGAAACAGAAGACACAAGGTTGGATGGGTGGGGAAAAGGGTGGGTCTGGGGTGAGGTGTGGGGAGGGATGAATATGATCAAAATACATTGTACAAAATTCTTAAGTAACTAATAAAATGGGGAAAATAAATATAAGCCTTAAGACAATAAAATTTAGCCAGGCAGTGGTAGCACACACCTTTAATCCCAGCACTTAGGAGACAGAGGCAAGCAGAGCTCTGTGAGTTCGAGATCCAGGACAGGCGCAAAGCTACACAGAGAAACCTCTGTCTTGAAAAACCAAAAAAATAAAAATAAAATAAAATTTAAAAATCTGCAAACTTTAAAATCTATTCCAGTATCTTATGGAATTCATTATTCTAGAATAAGCCATACTTTAAAAGACATTTAGCCACCAGATAACAACGGATTTATATTGTATTAAGCCTTAGCTTTTTTTGTTGTTATTGCTTTTTTTTGTTTTTTCAAAAAGCCAGAGGTTCAATTTTGTACTTTTGGAATGAATTGGTTGCACTTTTAACCCAGAAACCTAGATTGAGAAATTTATACAACTCTACTAAGACACAGGTTATGCCCCCTACCTTTGGCAGATACCTATCAAAACTTACATTTTTATATCTGGGATTGCCTCATTCAGTGACCTTATTTTGTAGTGGAAAAATACTGTGGACTTGAGTCAACTATTCAGTTTTTACATCTGGGAAAAGTTGAGCTTGGTTATTCTATATTTTAGGGAGTGGAAGGGTGGTGGTCTAGAGTGTCACTGCCTAGATGGGAAATAGCATGCTCATGATCCTCTTTTTAAATCTCCTCTTGAGTGTGAAGAATAGAAGCCTGCTGTCCTAATTTTTTGGGACAAACAGAGGAGGTTGAAGAAGTTGGGCACTTTCTTTGAAAGATGGCAACAGAGCCAAGGTCATGCTTGTGGATCGGGACCTTATTTAGCATCAGCCCCTGGGACACCTGTTGAGCCTTCTGAGTGAGCCCTGCTGCCCTGCTGATGCTCCTGTGCAGCTGCTGGGAGCAGGGTCAGCTAGTCCAGGGGAGGTTGAGCAAGTCAAACAAGAAGAAATGTCTGAGGTGTCCCTGAGAGTAAGAGGAAAGACAAATGTAGGGATCATGAGTCTTCCAAACCTAAGTAGTTTATCCTCTGGCAGCAGAGCCATGCTGATGGAAATAACAGAGTTGTAGAAATTTCAGAAAGATAAAAGTGTCTTTTGGGATTTGGTGACCCTAACAGCTTACAAAGACGCTGGGTCTGAGTGTTTTAAGAGAGGCGAAACTGAACTTTTAAAACTTGCCTCAGGATGTTGGAAACAGAAGCGTTTGAAGTACTTTTAGATCCTTGAAAATAAACATGACAGTACAGTTGTGGTTTGGAGGTTGTGCTAAAAGTCATTCTTACATTAGGCAAAATGCACACAAAGACACAAATGTGCTTAATGCCTACAAGAGTGCCGCTCTTTCTTACTGAGGAAATCCGGGGACTTGGTCCTGTGATTGTGTTCTAGTGAAAAGTCCGTGACTTGAGTCTGAGCTGTTTTGTCACCAAGCACTCGTAACTTGCGTCACCTGCATTTCAAGCAGGAAACAGGATTAAAGAAGGGATGTGGGCTGGGGAGATTCCGTGGACAGAGGGCTTTACTGCACAAGTGTGAGGATCTGAGTGTGAACCCCCAGTATTCTGGAAGCTGAGAGTCCAGTGCTCTCATCACTGAGGTGGGCAGCAGAGAAGGGAGGAGCCCTAGGTGCTCTGGGGCCAGCTAGTATGTTGTATGCCACAGCAAACAGCAGAGACCCTGTCTCTAACAGGGTGGGAGGTGACAACTAACCCCCAAAGCTATGTGCACACACATACATGCACAACACCCATATCATACACACCAAATCAATATAAATAAAGTAATTATATCATAGACCAGTGAGTGGCAGAGCAGGACTTTTAACCCCTTTTAGACTTATTGCTTCATTTAACTAAATTCCAAGTCCATAAAATGTTAACTCCTCATGTATTTGACCGCCTTTCCTTCCAGACCCGGGGAGGCGTTTCAAGACAGGGTTTCTCTGTGTAGCCCTGACTGTCCTGGAACTTGCTCTGTAGACCAGGCTGGCTTCTTAATGCACAGAGATCTGCTTGTCTCTTCCTCCCAAGTGCTAGGATTAAAGGCGTGCACCACCACCACCTGGCTTGACAGCCTTTCTTTATGAATGACTTCTGTGGTATTCCTTTAGTCATTGGTACATACTAATGTCCTACTCAGAGTGACCACTAATAAAAGAATCTAAGGAATTCAAATTTTCAATTACAAGAGTCTACATTAAAGATGAACTATGCAGTCAGTAGTGGGAAAGCTTCGTCTAGACACTTACTGGCCCTTAATAGCAGTGTTTCTGTGTTAGGGGCCTGTGACCGCTCAGCAGGCACTGACTGAAACCATGGAACTGGGCCAGCACCCCTTGTTCCTCTGTACCCATGACTAGAGGCTCATAGCTGACAGAGACAGCTCAAGGGGCATCCACTGCCTCTGACTTCCACGAGCACCCACCTACATGAGGTGGGCACTCACACAGACAGACACACACACACATAAATAAAAGCCTTTCAACACACCCGACTTTCACTATGTTTGAGGGATAAAAAAAAAAAACTGTTTTAAAACAACTTCTTAATTGACCAGTCTCAAAAAACTTTGTGTCCTAAGTGTTCTGCATAGTGCCTGCTTGGCATGTAAAATAGGACTGGTTTCTCAAGGTAAACAAGGGAAACCCTAACGGATTCAAGTATGTGATTTGTTACATGCGTATAATTTTATGTATCTTAACATTCCTGCTGGAGAGTGGGACATCTGTTATCAGGTTGTAGCAATTGTGATGTTGACCAGCTGGGAGCAAATTAAAATGGGTGATGTTGAGAAAGGCAAGAAGGTTTTTGTTCAGAAGTGTGCCCAGTGCCACACTTTGGAAGCAGCTATGCCCTGCTGGGTATACATTTTGGTTATTTGCTGTTTTTTTGACCTCTTGAGACAGGGTCTCAAGGTATAACCCAGATTGACCTGCGTAGCTTCAGAGTCATCATCCACTTGCCTCAGCTCCTCGTGTGTTGGGTCACAGGCACTGGTATTCTTGTTGTTTCATTTTAAAACCTCTATAATAGTAGCCCTTTTGCCTGGTTTCTTAGAAGGCATCAAACTTACATTAAGGAACTAACTCCTGAGTTAATGTTTTGGTATGTTTCTTTAAGATTAATTTAGCCAAACAGTGGTGGCACATGCCTTTAGAACTTGGGCAACAGAGGCAGAGACAGGCAGATCTCTGTGAGTTCGAGGCCAGGCTAGTCTACAGAGTGAGTTCCAGGACAGCCAGGAGTACATATAGAAACCCTGGTGGGGGCTGCGTGGGGGCAGGAAAAGAGATTAATTTAAATTTTAAGGGTGTTTTGTTTTTTCTTAAGATATTATGAACTGGATCCTAACAAAAGTCTTTTAGACAATTTGAGGAACAAAGTGATCATTGAATATCCAACTTTGCACGTAGTATTGAAAGGATCTAGTAACGGCATACAACTTCTTCACCAAGGTAAGCATATTTTGTCTTTTCCCTTCTGAGAAGGTCAAGCAGTTATGTGGTTGCTCCTACATTTTATATGTGTGTTATAGATGTAAAAGAATTTACTGTGCACAGCAACTGATATTGTAAAGTACCAAGTGAGTGAGTGCCATTTCTACCCCACTAGAAAGTATGATGCTCATGATGCTGGAATGATTGAATCAAAGTGTCTTGCTAAAAGGGATATTAGAATTGTCGAGATATTTAATTTACTGTCTACTGAAAACTGTGGGCGAAGTTTTTCATCGGGATGACAGGTCAGCTCTGTCCCATCAGCCAGCTCACAAATAACCACACAGAGACTTAATATTAATTATAAATGCTTGGCCAGTAGCTTAGGCTTGTTACTAACTAGCTCTTACAACTTAAATTAACCTATATTTCTTAACTACGCTCTACCATGTGGTGGTACCTTTTTTGAAGGCATGTTCATCTTTCTTCTCTCTGTCTTCCTGAGACTCTTGAGAATTCCCTCCTTCTTCCCAGTGTTCTCTCTGCCCCAGAAATCCTGCCTAGCCATCTGTCAGTCAGCTCTTTATTAACCAATAAAAGTAATACATATTTACAGCGAACAACAGGATTATTCCACAACAGACAACTCTAGAGATTCACGAAATGAGAAATTACTGGTTTTGTATCCTCCTTTCTAGCAAAGGATGCTGCTGAAGGAATGTGTTTAAAGTCTGGGCTGTGTTTCGCTGAGCTTGTACCATGGCTTGCTGGTTTATTTCCTGCCATTTCTGTCTCTGCCATGTGAGCAGGTACTAGAACTGTGGTGGAACTAGACGTGGTGTGTGTGAATGGTGTATAAAAATCGCTTACCTACATTGATCAAAGTAACCTAATTATATTGCATAATACAAGAGTCTAGGGCTTGATAGAGCTTAGTAATTACTTCTAGAAGGTGATTACTCAGAACCCTTAGATAACATTTCAGCTGAGAACTAGTAGAAACAGGCCAAGCTGCATTGTTGCGTGTGAATCTGTGTGTTTGAATAGTTTTATTCAGCATGTGTGGTTTGCATTTTGTTGCATAATGGATGGTAGCCTGTTTGTACGGTGTTTTCTCCACATGTATGTGTGTCAGTTTTTCTTTCTTGAGTAAAATTAATAAAAAAAATTTCCAAGATTTTTTAATAACAAATTATGAGTCTCTAAGCCTTGTATCTATTCTTATCTTTGTTTTTCACAATTTGAGGATAGCCAGTTTTCTCAAGTTAGGAATTTCAGTTTTAGGTAACCACTTTGACTTTTCTAAACTTTGTAAAAACCTTACTTTTTCTTCAACCTGATTAACATTGTGTTAAGACTTGTAAATGTTGGTCTCAGTGAAAGCTGTTGGGTGAGTTACTGGCCAGGGCAAACATGGACTGTGTAAACAAACAGAGCACACTGCTCCTCTTTCACCTTGTTTAGGAATAACATGTCCAAGCTAGGCTTCCTGGGATGAAGCAGTAAGAAAGGCTAATTCAGCATGTACTGGAACCTCAAGTAGAAGTTGTTGCTTTATTTTGCACTTATTTGCAGTTGACTCTTCTATGTAAATGGTGGTCTAGGGCTGCTGCAAGAGTCTGCCAGAGCTGTCACGTTCTAAGTACTCTCCCCTAACAGTGAGGGTGGGTCTGTGGGCTTGCATTTATTTTTCTTAGCACATCAAGATGCCTGTCTCTTTATACAGTCCTATAGCAATGATATTCTATAAGGTGACCCTGTGGTGTAGTGGGGGGGGGGGCTATAAAAATAGCATTTTCTTTGGAAAGCCTTGAATTTTTGCTTTCTCCAAAGGTGGGGGAAAAAAAGTTGAATTTTTATCCTGAGAATGGAATTCTGTTGGTGATGGGGGGGGGGGTGTTTCTGGAAAATGTAGTCTGCAGTTGATGGTTGTTACAGTGTTTATTTGGTTGGTTGTAGATTGCCATAATTAAGTCTGCCTATATTAATAGGAAAGGGGGTAATTGCTTGTTAATTTGTCCTTCCTTCTCTTTTTAAGGAATGAAAAGGGTTAACTGGACTAGGCAGGAGAGGAAAGTGCCAGTTACCCCACCACACACACACACACACACACACACACACACACACACACACGCCCTTTGTGGATCCCGTAGGACTGCAGAGAGTGCAGAGAGCAGTGTGCACCGCTGAACAGACCCTCCTCTGCTGGCCTTCCAGACACAGTGGAGTGACTTGAGAAAGCAGGCTGGGCTCTTCTGAGGACGGAGCCCTGTGAAAAGACAGCTAGGCGGCTGTGGTAGGCTAAATCAGTGACATTACCTAGCAGGACCACCTTTCATATGTCAGTCTCTTATTGGAAAAATCAATCCTTTCATTTGACCTCCTCCCCCAGTCTTCCCAGCCTTCTTTGCTTTCTTTCCTGCAGAGGAAGCCGGAGGATAGAATAATCAATTTGTAGGATCTCAGAGGAACTTGAAAGGTTCTCTTGGAGTTTCTAAAACTCCCGAGATGAACACTGCCTGACGTGGCAACATTTTGATGCCTTACACATAGGAAGGACTCACTGAATGCTGTTTTTGTTGCCAATACAACCATAGATCTAAATGAACCCCAAGGAACTTGACAGTTGGAATATGAGACAGAGGTCCAAGCTCCTGTTTCTAGTCCTTGTGTGTCCTCTCCAAGGTCTCTTCTCCTTCTCTACCTCGTGGAGACAAACAGTGTAAACTTAAAATAATCTGTTTTATTATTTTTAAAGATTTCGTTTTATTTATGTGTGTACATGTGTTCATGTGCATACACTCATACTTACAGTGCCCTCAAAGGCCAAAAGAGGATGTCAGGTCCCCTCGGGCTGAAGTTACAGGCAGTTATGAACCTGTCTATCCCACTACAGGTGGGGGTTGGGAACTAAGCTTTAGTGCTTTGAAGAGGCAACTAGTGCCCTTAACCCCAGCTGTCTCTACAGACCCTAATCATATTTTAACCTTAACAGTTTTTAGTGTTTCAATGTGTTATTGCCTTTCAGTTTCATCACATATAAGGACAGGGTAATATGTAGTCACAGGGGTTCAGTGTACTGCACACTGTGGGGCAAACCCAGGGAAGAGAGGTTGTGTCTTGGTCATGGAGACTAGCTTCTGTATTGCTCACCCTCAGCATGACAGGAGCTTCAGAGGCCTGCATTGTGCTCAGTCTTCTATCAGCCCACATGCATTCACATATATATACTCACCCTTTAAGTTTAAAAAATACACATCTGTAAAAAATTTCCAACTACATGTGGACAGGCTTTGTGATAATGGTGTCATGAATATGGGATCATAACTGAACCATGAGGTCCATTTCCAAGTCTTCCACTGTCAAGAAGGTTGTAACCCCACAAAATATAATTGCCACTCTTAAGCATCATTTCTCTATTCATTGTGTCCAGAAGTGAGTCTCCTGGCTGCCTGGGACATGACATGGTTTGTCTGTCCCTGTGAGCAGTGCTGTTGCTATGCTGTGCATCAGAAAGGAGGAGAGAAGAAGAGAAAACAAGACAGGCTGAGCAGTATAAACATTTGACTATGTTTACGTGGTTTTCTTCCAGTGAAAAGTGAATCTACCGAGAAGCCTGGCAATGAAGATTGAGCACTTGTGGAAGAAGGTGGAAGTTCCCAGATGGTTGAGAAGATTGTGTGTGGATGGACAGTTGGGTGGGTGGGGTACTGTCAGCTGGTGGTTGGAATGTGTTATTTGTATAAAAGGAAATTAAACAATATAACTTCCTTTTTTTCTTTCTTTTTGAAAAAAGTGTATTTTGTTGCCTTTTGAATGAACTGAGATCCAAAGCCTCTTTCACAGAATGAACCCCTATGCACCTGATTAGTGGAGTCCTCACTAGATTTTAATATGCTTATTTCTGTAAACTGAAACATTTGTATTTGTTAGGGTGACACAGGACCAAACCCAAGGATCACCTGGGTCAGCCACAAAGATGGCCCTCTCTGTGGTCACAGCTCACTGAAGAGAATGCTACGCAGCGAAGCGTCTAGCCAAGTCGAAGCACTCTCCCAAGAGTTTACCGTCCTTTACCGTGTTTGGTTTTTCTGTAACCCCTCTTAAGACAATTCATACTTGAGATACTCTCGATCTTACGGGAAGATGAAAAAAACACGAGTCACTGTGTGTTATGTTCAGTTAAAAAGATCAGCAGTTCCATGTTGAGTTATCCTTGATGACATCTTCACACAGGTTCTGTGCCTCATCCATTCCCAGTTGACTCTGTTGATGCACAGGGATACAATGATGACCAATTTGGTGTTATATTTTGACACATCTAAAGGAAACAACCACTTGGAATTCTTGAGTGTGTTGATGAAGTGTGTGGAGGTATAGTGATGTGTGTACATGGCTTGATTTTTAAACAGTTCACATACTAAAATTAAACTTTGATCATTTCATGTACATTTATGAAGCTCTGAAACTTTAGTTTGACTATAGAAGAATAAAGAATTACATCTGCATTGCATCTGTGTACTAAATGTTTTTTAAAAATTAATGAAAAGGGAGCCATAAATTTGAAAAAGCAAGAAAGAGTATATGGGAGGGCTTAAAGGGAGGGAAGATAGAAAATGATGTAATTATAGTATAATCTCAAGAATAAAGCTTAAAGTGATAAAGTTGGACGTTAGTGAAGATCATTTAGCTCCTAGGCATATAAGAGTCAGGTCAAAAAGAAGCCAGAGACTTGGAGAATACAAATACATATGTAGCTCAGGATAGAAATCACAGTAGAAAACTAAGAGTCAGTAATGCCCAGAGACCACTGGTTTCCAAGTGCACCGGAAGTGTGGTTTGTAGGTAATGGAGCCATTGAGAAGTGTGCTCAGACCCTGGGTACCCTTGAGATCTGACGTGGCAGAGGATTCATGTGGAGTTATGTCCTTGCCAGTACCACTGGAAAGACAGCTAAGCTCAATTTCACGGGATTCAGATTTGGTCCAAAAGTAAAATCTGTGTCAGTGAGGCAGGCAGGAGAGGTGGAGGAACTGAGGTGCAGTTTCCTGGTGTTGTTGACGACGTGGGATAAAAGAACCCAGGAAGAACATGTGGTCCAAGTGTGGGGTGGAGAGGAATCCTAACAGTGAAGTCTTGTACTTTGGTCTCAATTCTAAGAAAAGTGTTAAGCTCCGTATAAAACTGAACAACAAAGAAAGAATTTATTCTGTGCTTTGCTTCTCCCAGGAGGAAAGGGGAGCAGAGTTCACCTAAATAGAACTGTCACTTCACTTGATTAATATGCATATTTATTCCCAAGCAATTAATAATAAACATGTGTCTTAATGAGTAATCACGTTAGACTCGAAGGGGTGAAGTCGGAATGGTTCCCCGAAAGCCTTAGAAGGCAGTAGTACTAAAGCCCACATTCTTCTCATTGGCCCTTTCTTAGATTCTTGACAAATTCTGGAGTAAACAGACTGAGACCCATGGCAACGTCATCATTCTGCAGTAATCCTGGATTTCTTTTTAAGAGGGGAGACACTCCACCTGGCCTTTCATTTTTTATTTTTTTTTTTTTTTTTTTTATTTTTTTTTTTTTTTTTTTTTGGGTTTTTCGAGACAGGGTTTCTCTGTGTAGCTTTGCGCCTTTCCTGGAACTTGCTTTGGAGACCAGGCTGGCCTCGAACTCACAGAGATCCGCCTGGCTCTGCCTCCCGAGTGCTGGGATTAAAGGCGTGCGCCACCACCGCCCGGCTTCTTTCATTTTTTAAACAATGGTTTCAAAGACAAAATACGGCTTTTCATAATTGCTAATCATAACATATAGGATTAATAGCATAATTACAACACACAAAATTTACAAGCACAAGGACCTAAATTTGAACCCCAGAACCCACATTTAGAAAAGGGAAAGCAACAGCTGCCAGGTTGTAGTCCCAACATCAGAACAGTATAGACAGACAGAGTGACCATCGGGGCTTTCTAGCCAGCCAACATGGCCTAGCTTACTCTGTGAGTTCAAAGTCAGTGAGAAACGCTATCTCAAAATGAAGGTGGACAGCACCTAAGAAACAAAGTTATCCTCTGGTTTGCGTGCATGTGCCCACTCACGCACAAACACACACATACACACACAGGCACGCACATCTTTTAGCCTTTGACAAGCCAGCTGTATGAGCCTACTTTTCCTTTCATACTCTTGGTGACTAAAGTCAAGGCTCCAGTCCCCCTTTTCTCTTTTCATTCCTTGCTGTGATGCTTTACTTGGGAGCTCTAGAGTCACTTAAATATAATGCCATCATCAGATGGAGGAGGAAACAGGTCCAGCATAATTGAGGATTATGCTCAGACCGCTTAGAGTAAGTGAGCCAGCGTTCAAGGCAAGCCAAGCTGGGCGTCCTAGGTCGCGTCCTCCTTAACCGTCAGCCTACAGAGGCTATCTGCAATCCTGTGTTTCAAGTTACTGTGGCTCAGTGGTGGCTTAACAGTTCCACAGACATTTGTTCCCTCTGCTTCACAAGAAAACTCTGATGAGGTCTGAGAGCTGCTCTAATCCATAAACTTGGTTTTGGTTGGTTTTTTGTTTTGTTTTTTCTTTTTAAAGACAGGATCTCTGTATCCTAGGCTAGCCTCAGATTCACTGTGTAGCCAAGGATGACCTTGAGCACCTACTTGATCCTTCTGCCTCCACCTCCCAAGTGCTTGGATGGTAGATACATGCTATCACACCCAACTAACCACATTTTTTGTTTGTTTGTTTTTCGAGACAGGGTTTCTCTGTGTAGCTTTGTGCCTTTCCTGGATCTCGCTCTGTAGACCAGGCTGGCCTTGAACTCAAAGATCCACCTGGCTCTGCCTCCCAAGTGCTGGAATTAAAGGTGTGTGCCACCACCACCCAGCTCCACATTATTTTTTTAAAGAGGGTTATTCATAATTTATTAGTCCAATTTTCTCCATTTCTCCCAGTATCCTTAGCAGCTATTTTGTGCCTTTTATTCATGCTACTCTAAGTCCTTGCTGGTTTGAACATAGAATCTTCAGTGACCTCTGTTAGCTGTTTATGTTTCCGCCAGTTTCTTTGATGGGCTCCAACATTGGCATCTGGTCTTTGTCATTGTCTCCTCTGAATTGCCCACAGCTGAACTAAGTGCAGCTCAGAGCTGTCAAAGCAGACCCAAGGTTGCGTGACTATCCAAGACTGCCTGGTCCGTGGACCCACGTGGAAAGGACACATGCATACAAGAATAACTATCGCTGACTGGTGTGTTAGCATACTGAACATTAGAAGAACCATGTGTTCGGCCTGCTGGTGCATCCACCTATAACTGGCCATGACTTTTATATGGGACAGGCTTGAAGGGCAGAGTTTGGTGGGAACTATTGCAGCTACGTGGGAGATACCATAATTTCATGACCTTTTGGAATTCTTGAGAAAGGTTCAAAAGTAGACATTAAATGGTTGAAGGAAATCCATAAAGACACCAGGGCAGACAAAAGAAAGGTCTTGCAAAATGTGTGAGTGTTCATTTCCTAGACTGGAGACAAAGGTTCATACTCTGACATGCACCCAAGAAGGAAACCAACCAATATGGTTTTTATTTTTAAAAGCAAGCTTCCTATCTCCCTCGAGAGATGCAGAAACTATTACATGGCAATTTCACATTTTTATTTCAGAAAACTCAAGTTTCTCTTGGGTTTCTGTTTATCATTCTAGTTATATTTTTCTGTTAGAAGAAATTGTCACAATCCACCTCTTGGTATCTTGATTTCTTTTGGCTCCTCGAGCATGGGTTCTGATTTAAGTCCATATGGTGTAAATCTGCGGTGCAGAGATGTCCCTGGAGCTCAGTAGTGTCTTGTTTTCCTAGAGCCCTGTGGTCTTCCTGTTGACTGGTGCTCTGTGTTCCTAAAGAACAGGAGAATCCAGTGTCTGTGTTTTGAAGTATGGGGGCTAGCTGACCAGATGCTGGGAGTCTGTGCGTTAAAGCCTTCGCCAGTGTGAGACAGCAGCCTTTTCCATGTTCCTGACAGACTGGGAGGTGTGTTTTCAAGTTCTCTGCTTCAGAGCTCTCTCTGGAAAGGTTGGTCAGTTGTTCAGCCAACATCCCTGGCCTCTGCAGCTGCTGCTGCTTAGAAGCCTCTAATAGTTTCTGCCACATTTGGACCCTCACAGTCAAAACTTCTAAGCACTGGGAACGGGAAGCTGGAGGTGGTGAAGAATGCCAAGAGGGTGGGTATCCAGTCTTCCAGGTAGTGACTCTACAGAAGCTGCTGTGTGGCTGGCCTGTGTTTGGACAGTCACAGGGAAGGCTAACCCAGGTGTTCCGTTCTTGCCTTCCTAGGTGACAAGAAGCAGTTGTAAGGTTTGAGTTGATTCTTTTAAAGGCAGTTCTTTCTCCTGACCAGCTTGTGTCCTTAGCGGTGGGAGGGGAAGCAAGTTAATTACCAAGTGTTTTAGCCTATCTAAAGGTGCTGTGTTTGAAGTTCAGTGACTTAGACCAAAAATGCTTTCGATGATTCCATGATCTCCTACATTGCCTTTTAACTCCAAAGAGGAGTCGTGAGTCTGCGAAGCTTGGACTGGTAAATGACATTGAAGGGCCTAGTAAAGCCTGCTGCTGGCCACTCGGCATGCTCCCACTCCTGGGAACAACTCTGGGAATGACCGGCTTCGCTGTTCTTAGCCTCCAAGTTGAAATGGGCTTGACCCATCCTCTCCTCCTGATAGGATTCATTGATCTAAACTGCTCAGCCCCCCACTCCTCTGTTTAGTTCAGAACTGTGCAAGTGACCTGAGCACATGGGACCTAAGCAGACTGCAAAGAAGGGGGTGAGCATGGCCAGGCTCCGACTGCCAGAGGCTAAAGGTAGATTACTGTACGTGACTGCTGTGAGGAGAGCTGGTCTGGCTGATGATGACTGGGAGGAAGCCAGTCAGATCTGTGTTCAGCCGTGCCGTCCATCCCTGTGAATTGTTCAGTAACAGTGGCCAAAATACTGCTTTCTTTTTTGCCCGCAACGCTGCCAGATTTAATAACCAGAAAATGAAATGTAGTAAACGATAGCCACTGGATTCAAGAGTCTGCTGAAGAAAAGAGAAGAGCCTCAATATGCTATAAACCAGGCTGGCCTTGAACTCACAGAGATCCACCTGCCTCTGCCTCCCGTGTGCTAGGATTAAAGACGTGTGCCACCACTGCCCTCGGGAGAATCATTCTTTACAGATGCATTAACTGGACTTAGTGGGTTATCAAAAAAGGGGGGGGGGGGCGTGAAAATGGAAGAACTGGTTTCGGACTAGTCCACACCAAAGTGAGATGGACTGTTACACTTGAACTACCTCATCCCATTGGACCTGATGCTGTGAGGATGTAGGCCTTGGAACCCCCAGAGCCCCTTGTGATACTACAGAGAACTGAGAGGCATTTTGCTTTCCGTCTTGCCATTCTGGACTGTTTCCTTCATTTCTAGCAACAGCAGTGGGGTTTCCTGAGTAAGACAGAGGTGTGAGGAGACTCAATCAAGCGACTTCTTACAGAGGGCTCGTCATCTTTCCAACGCCCCTCCAAGATAAGGATTTAAACTGCAGATGACCAACCCTTAGAACGGAAAGGATTGTAGAGATCAGCTACTCCCCTGAGATCAGTGCCTTCCCATGTGCCTCAGGGTGACAAGGTGATTTTTAGGTGCTTCATGAACATTTTTTATTTTAATAAAGATAATCATCATACTGATTCCCAGAAAAATAGGACTTTCTGCATCAAATTTGTAATTTTATGGGCTTTGTTGTGATGCTTGTATTGGAGGACAAATGAAAGGTTAGGAAAACAAACGTTTGCTTTTTTAAGGGATTACCCAGTTGCCAGATGAAGAGAGAGAGATATTACACATGAGATCTTCGAGCTGGAAGGGGTCCTGGAGATCTTGCACTCATCTCCCGTGCCCATACGTCTTCAACATCAGAGTTCTCCCCAATGCACTCCTCAGAGGGGCCAGCTGGCTTCTGCTTGACCATATCCAGGGGTGGTGTGCTCACCACCACTTGAGGAACACATCCTGTGTGACAATTCTAGTAGTTAGAAAAGCCTCCCTTGCCGAGCCAGAATTAACACACACACACACACACACACACACACACACACACACACACACACACACACACACCGCCTTGTATCTTTCTGTTTAGTTCTGCTTCTGCCCCCGATGCCACCTTCCGTGTTCCAAGGCAGTGATGACTCTGCAGCTCCCAACACACCCCTCAGGTCATCATAGCTGGGAGCTTTTGATCACCATTTTCTCATCTTTCTTCTGATTCAATACTCAGTTGTCTGTATACCTGCTTTGTGTCTAGAACAACACTTAATATACTTGTCTTGAATAAACCAGAGCTGTTCCAGCCCTTGTCCTGGACCTTATGTTTCTGTGAAGGCAGCCGGTTGAACACGGAGTGACAGCATCAATCATGTTACATTTCAACCCCACTCCAGGTTCCCTGTGCCAGGATTAGGGATCAAACCGTCTCTTGTGGGCTAGGCAAACATCCTGCCATTGACTCACATCCCTTGACCCGCCTGCATTTTGTCTATTGTTCACTGTACCATTTATGCCATAGTCAAGTGACTGAGTGATTAAATTCTTTCCGTTTATAAGTCCTAATTTATCCATCTTGATTTGATCGCCAATTCATTGAACCCCAAATGGTTGACTTCGAGAATGTCCCTAGAAACTTAATAAAAATAAGATACATACACATGTAAGTGAGCAAAGGAAATTCAATCCTGGAACCTAGCATGTATCCAAGACATTGAAGTAGACTGAAAGTATAAAGAATTCAACACAGGTCAATGAGAGATTAGGAGCTAGGATATGAAGGGGCTGGAGCCATAGCTCAGTGGTTAAGAGCACTGGCTGCTCTTCCAGAGGTCCTAAGTTCAATTCCCAGCAACCACATGGTGGCTCACAACCATCTATAGTAGGAGGTGGAATCTGATGCCCTCATCTGGCATAAAGTTGTACATGCAGATAGAGCACTCACAGACATAAAATAAAAAAATAAATAAATCCAGAATACATTGACCTAACCTTGTCCAGCCCACCCTCCTGGTCGTGAGTCCACAGAATGCATGCCTGTTAAATCTCTAACTCTGCATGAAATTCCTACCACCCTCCACTGCTACACTTTGGGTCAGCTGTCTTTGGCTCTATACTAGTTAACAAAACGGATCTGGAAGTTAAATAGGACTGAGTTCAATTCTTAGCATTGTAATCCCTGGTTGATACCCTCTCAAAAGCTTCCGAAAGCCTCCACCCACTGTAGAATAATACAGTTCTAATCTCATGATTGTTATGTAATAAATCACTTGGCACATCAACACTTAATATACCATGAGTGATAATGTGGTTCCAGTCTACTGATACATAAAGTAATTATAAAAACTGAAGATGAGCCGGGCAGTGGTGGTGCATGCCTTTAGTCCCAGCACTTGGGAGATAGAGGCAGGTGGATCTCTGTGAGTTCCAGGACATCTAGGGCTGTTACACAGAGAAACCATGTCTGGGAGGTGCAGGGGGGCACTGAAGATGAAATTAGCCCACATGGAGTACATCTGTCCATTAAGACTTTGTATATTTCTACCCTGAAGCCCTTGAATGAAGTTGCTCTCAATTTGATAAAGTCCCACAATCCCCAGGCTTCTCAGGTTAAAGGGAGCAGGGCTGTATGAAGTAACGAAGGACGGATGAAACCATCGGCAGATGTCTCCTTTACTACTATTAGCTAAACAGGGATCTGGAAGGCATGCAGAGGCCTATTCCATTAGAAGGCCACTTCCTCGTCAGTGCCACCCAGGCAGGAGCCTTTCCACTAGCCTGCCTGTGCAGTTCTGTGGACCTGCAGGACAGGAAGGGGCAGATGGCTCAGACATGAGTGGTAAGTGAACTGTGTTTTTCCCGGTGTGCTTTTTTCCGACCGCTGGCTTGCCATCCCAACAGGATGCATTTTTAACATGAAGAAGCTGCTGGGTACATGCGCCCGGGCAAGCACAAGTCTCCCAGCAGGGTGCTCCGAACACTGACTGGGCTTGCCAGGCTTGGGTAAGGCCTCCCCTGATCCGAGGATTATTGTTAGGCAAGAGGGCTTTAAAAATTAAATCCAATTAAAGGCAGGAAACATCAGGCTTCCTACCCCGTGAAACAGCTTCGGTTAACATCCCCATATTTGCTTTGTTCTGAAGAATTTCGAGGTGTAGCACATTTTCCCCCCATCAATGGAAGAACAGTCAACACCTAGATGTTTATCCGTGGCCCAAACCATAAAGATGACTACCAGAAGCTCTGGGATTAATACTCCTGGTGACCCCAAGATTGGCACGACCCCCCCCCCACCACACACACACACACACACACACTCACTGCCCTTCCATTTGCCGTATTGAGACAGGAGTTCTGACAGCCAGTTAGTTCACTTAGGGGATTTTTGACTAATTAGTCATTCATCGCTAGATGTTCAGAGGACTGTATGTCTGTCTGTCCCGTTTGTCATTTCATCCCCCGCCCACATCCTCGGTCAGATCACAGAGCCCCGAAGTATTACTAGTTTTCCGTTTCTCCTCTGCTCCCTCCTTTCTTTTAATAACTCTGGGAGACAGGGAGGCACCTTGTAAAGTTAATTTCCTCCAAAGCTTTCAAAGCAAAGGCATAGCTCAGGCCAGACACCACCACCCCTCTCCACCCCTCAGCAAGGTCGCACACCCCTCCTCGAAGCCTTAGTCACCGGGCTGTGCCCGCCACCGAGGATTTGCCAGGCCCGGGCTGTCTCAGGGGCACGGTGAGTTGCCCTGTGGGGTGGGGTCCCTAGATGAAAAGAATTTCATTTATCCGCCTGGTCCCTTCAACATTTCCCTTCTTAACGATGCCCCCCTTCCCCTTCACAGCCCTGTTACTTTCAGGACTCGGGGCTGGCTGGCTGCCTGTACCATGGATGGCATTTCCTCTTCAAAGGCCTGTGGCCTCAGCCACCCAGCTCCACTGAGCACACAAACCAATGGAATTGCTGTGGCTTTGCTGCCTGCCTCCTTGGAAAGCAAGGGTAGTTTTTTTTAAACACCCCTTGGGTTTCTTGGGGCAAAGCTTTTCTCTGTTGCATTTTATTTATGCGAACACGACCTGTGGCTTTGGAGTGTTTGCTTTTGAATGTTTGTGTTAATGGACTAAGCTGAAAGCATTTCCTCTTACCGGAGAGAGCCGGCGCAGCTGGGGGCCAGGCTGCTCTGCTCTGGCAAAAACTGTCCCAGGAGGAAGGAGTCGCCGGCCAAGGAAGTCCAGAGGCTCAGAGAGGAATTCATTGAGGCTCCGTGAGAAGAGCTAGGCTCATAGTCTGAGCCTCGATCCTCAGCATCTCCTTTGATTAATAGGAAGGGCTGGACCAGAGACACCCAAATTTCTGCAAATATGCTTTTTAAATTGTGCATATATTTACCAAAACTGTGTGGTTTTTAACAGCTGTGGTGTCTGGTCTTTTCCTCCTGCCCCAGTCTTTTAAAGCATTTCTGCAGTGTTAACTCCTCCTGAACAGGGTCCATCCTTAAGTCGTGTGCCTGTCAGTAATGTAGATTGTGGAGGACCCAAATTACTCAGGGTCCAGAAGCTGAGCTTGCTTTACCCAACCGAGCTCCATAAGGGGATGATTTGACCATGGCGTGGTTACCAGGTGTTTGGAAGGGTCTGCACTTGGCTGTATCTAGCAAGAGGGGAGTCTTTTGCCCCACCCCTTGGCGTTATAAAAAGCCCTTTTGAATAAACTTCTGTGCTTTTGGCTATTGACCCAGGTCCTCCCGAATCTCTCCTGTGTTTCTGTCTCCTCTCTGCTGTCTTTCTATCTAGTATTTTCTTATTTCTCTCTCCTCATAGGAACCCCGGAAAAGGTGGGAGCTGGCCTCCCACAGTAGATCAGCCTATGAATGTTTATTTCCTCTCTTGTCTTCTCCCTCCCCCGTACCTAAGGATGAAAAATTCAAAAGTCACAGTGTTGGGCGAGGCACTGTAATTCATGGTGGAGTGTTTGCCTAGCATGTGCAAGGCCCTGGGTTCAATTCCCAGTACAGGGGAAAATTAAGTCTCAGTAACTTGATAACCTAACCCTGAGGTAAGGAATGGAGGCAGAAGACAGTGAAGGGGACCAGACAGAACTGTGTAATGAAAGCATTAGGGTCCAGAACAGAATTGAAGGGACACTGTGATAGGAATTCCAACCATGCCCTCATGGTCGTGCATGCCCAGTGGGACACTTAGTCATTTCCGAGCCATACGTCCTAGTAACCCATGCCCCATGGCTATGTGGTCACGTAATCGCATGGATGTGACCACGTGATCTATGCACATGTGTGGAATTGCCACATGGGCCTGTGTGCGCAGGTGCAACCTGGCCTTTAAAAGACAGGCCCTATGTTCCCCTGCCCTTTTTCTCACATGTGTCCTTTCAGCAGGCCTGATCACATCTATCCCTTTCCCCATATCTTGATAAAACTCTTGTTAGTGGATTTTGTCATGTTTCGTGACTTTTCCTTTGGGGTAAGAGCACTGCTAAAAAACTATCACACTGAGCTTGGCAGTTTTTAAGAGTGAATGCTATCCCACTTTTTCTACCCTATGTCCTGTGTGGCCCTGGGGCTAACAGCCCTGGAAGCCTGGAAGCTTTGAGTCAGTGGTGCAGACTGACCTGGACAACTTGAGGGTGTGAGCATATTGGGAACATTCCTCCCTACAGACAAGATAAGACTATCGGGGTGAACTAGTTGGGAGTCTTTGTGAGTTGACCTAGATGATGGACCTACCAGGAATAGGGCCTCTGTTATCAACCTGAAATGACAAATTAGTTGTTGCTAAAAACTGTAGTGAACACTGAGGAGAAGAGTTGATGTCGGACTCCAGGCCGTAGAGAAGCTACTGGGAGGGGGGCGGGTGTTTGTTGTTTTTTTCAAGACAGGGTTTCTGTGTAGCCCTGGCTGTCCTACAGAACTCTCTCTGTAGACCAGGCTGGCCTCAAATTTAGAGATCCA